CCCCCCCGGCCCCGCCGAGCCCAGAAACGCCGGGAAATCGCTCAGACGGATTAAAAACCTTTTTCATGGGCGGGAAGGGGCGCTGGTCCCTATGAATCCCCCTCCCCTCATTCGCTCTTGGGCACTGCCGGGCATTATCCCGGCTCCCGGGGCTGTGTCACGGGACCGGCTGCTGCCATGGGGCAAGGGGGGCTCGCTGCAGTTTGGAATCAAACCAAACAAATTGGGGAGGGGAGGGAACAGCCCTAGAAAACAGGATTTGGCCTCGGGCGCTTGGAGCTGCACGAGGGGGTTAAAGGATCCCCCGGACCCCCGGTGCCCCCAGCAGTGGCTGTGCCCCCCCAGAACGGGGGGTGTCCCAGACCCCACGGTCCGTCCCGGGGTTCGGGCGGTGAGCGCGGAGCTGCTAGATGGAGCTTCCAGCCCCGCCGGCCGGAGCTCGGATCCCTCGGGACACGGCGCTGCCAGGGACTGGTGTCCAGCGGTGCTCGGGCTCTGGTCGGGAATGTCATCCAGACGGACAAACTGAGTCCGAATGGGCGGCCATTCCCACCAGCTGCTATTTCTCCTCCCTTTTCCATGACGGATTTCACGGCGCTTCCTTTCACCCCAGAGGTTTGGAAAGCAACGTCGCTGCTGCCTCGCAGCCACCCCCAGCGCCTTCCAGAGCTCCAGCCTCGTCCCTCCTCCTCTCCCCTTTACTCGGCACCAGGTTCTCCCTCCTCTCCCTGCCAGCCCGGAAGAAGGAGATTTTCCCTCCTGGCACTCCCTGCCCCCTCCCCCTGTCCCGTTGTGCCCAGTTGGTATTTCTGGGGCCGCCTGCCCACGGCTGCCTTACAGATGGAGCCGGATGGAATTCTTGCAGAGATTCCTGGGCTGGGCTGGCCCTGCCTGGGGGCCCGGGGCCACCAAAGCTGCTGCCTCACTCCCCTCCACATCAGGGCAGGGGACAGAAGGAAATGCTCGTGGGTCGGGATAAGGGCAGGGGGAGGTCGGTCACCCATCGCTGTCACGGGCACAACAGACACGACTTGGGGAAATTAACTCAGTTTATGACCAGCCAAATCAGAGCAGGAGAATGAGAAGTGAAACAAATCCTAAAAAAACACTGGGCTTCACTGTGTCCCCGATTCCCTCCCTCCTTTCCCTCAGTGGCACAGGGGAGATGGGAATTGGGATTATGGTCAGTTCATCACATGTTTGTGCTGTTGCTTCCCGCTCAGGGACAGAAGTCCTTCCCCTGTTTCACTGTGGGTCCCTTCCATGGGGTCAGTCCCTCGGGAACAGGCTGCTCCACTGTGGGTCCCCCACGGGGTCACAAGTCCTGCAGGAGCCTGTTCCGCGTGGGCTCCTCTCTCCGAGGCTCTGCAGGGGCTTCCCACGGGCTCTCAGCCTCCTTTGCGCATCCCCTGCCCCACCGTGGGCTCCCCCCTGGGCTGCAGGGGGGTCTCTGCTCCATCCTGGACTCATCCACAGGTCACAGGCCCTTCAGCTCAAGTTCACACCGACTTCCAGCCTGTCCAGTGCAGCAGCAATTCCCGGGCCTCCTGCCAGCCCGGGCACATCGCCGGGGCTGTTGCCCAACGTTCCCAGGCACAGCACAGTGAGGTGATGAGAGCTGAGCAGCTCAGCAGCAGGGACAGCAACAAACAGCCACTAAGGAGCCCCAGACTCTGACACACAGCCAGGAGCCCCAGACAGCACCAGCAGCTGTAAATTCCAGCAGCACATCCCAATCCCACCCGTCAGTATCTCCAACACTCCCAGCCCCACCTGGACACCAACAAAGGCTGTTGTGGTTTCACCCCATCCAGCCCCCAAGCCCCTTCCAGCCACTCCTCACTCCCCACCAGCAGGATCAGGGAGAGAACTGGGAGGGGAAAAGCTGGAAAACTCATAGGTTGGCATAAAGACAGTTTAATAAGGACAAGCAAAACCTGCACACACAAGCAAAACAAGGAATTCATTCCCTGCTTCCCACGGTTGGGCAGGCGTTCAGCACCTCCAGGAGAGCAGGGCCCCATCCCACAGAACGGTGACTTGGGAAGACAAACTCCATCACTCCAAAGGTCCCCCCTTCCTCCTTCTCTCCCCCACTTTATATCCTGAGCATGATGTTGACACCCCTGTCTGGTTCAAAGGTGTGGGGTGCAGTCCCCACTGTCTGGGTTGCCCATGTATTAGTCAGGCCCAGGTGCAACTCAGTTCTTAACACAACAGAAGGAGAATTATGGAATGACACTGGAAAGGTTATTGGTGTGACAGGAAAACAATGGGTAACTCATCAGTTTCTCTATTTGCCAAACTCCCCTAAACCTTTGCTAGGAAGAGATTGATTGGGAAACTTGAGGCAGAAATTAAATTTAAAAATGGGCACATTGAAATTGTAATTGCTGGGACTAAATAAGTTGAAGCAGCAGCTCTTCTTGAGCAGGAAATAACTCCAGTTAGCAGCAACATCCCAAGGGAAGCTGAAGATGCAGTTGTTCCTATCGTGTGGGCCAGTGGGATTCCATGAAAATCAGGAAAGGCAGCACCTGTAAGAATTACCCTTAAGCCAGCAGCTGTAGTGATAAGGCAAAAGCAGAATCCTTTGAAATTAGAAAGCCAGGTTGGATTGGTTCCAGTAACACACACATTTGCTAAGCATGATTTGCTTGTAGACTGGGAATCCAAGTACCCATAAAGAAAGCAAATGGGAAAGATTATTGATTAGGGCAGGACCTGAGAGAACCCCCTTAAATGATAACCTAGAATCGTTTACAGTTTTAGATTTACGAGATGCCTTTTCCTGCATCCCCTTGAGCAAGGAAAGTCAAGAAATCTTTGCTTAGGAATGAGAAAATCCAGAAACTGTGAAGGAGGAGAAGAAGCCACCTGACTCCTCCCCGAGCCACCAACAGTTCATGAAGTGCCTTCCTGGGAATGGCAGGATGGTTGACTCTGGATTGCTCACTATGGATTTTGGCAAAACCGTTATATGAGCTTTTAAAAACAGCCTGTAAGAATTTCCTCACCTGGACAGATGGTGCAAGAGCAGCCTTTAAGCAGCCAAAGCATTTCCTGATGAGAGCCCCGGCTCTGGGTCTGCCAGATCTCTCAAAACCATTTGAACTGTTTACCTATGAGAGACAGAAGGTTGCTCTGGGAGTGCTTGCACAATTTCCTGGGCATCAGTGAAGAGCCAAGGCCTATTCCAGTCAAAAGCCCTGACTGGGAATTGTACACGATGGAAGCAGCTTTGTTTGGGAGGGAAAACGAGTGACAGGGTGTGCACTGACCACCCCAGACAAGGGAATCGAATACTGGCCTCCCCAACGACTGTCTCTGCTCAGAAAGCAGAACTAACTGCTCTTAGCCCTGGACTTAAGGAAAAAGAGGAAACATTTGGCATTGAAAACTTTCCCTAAAATTGGAAACCATTTTGCTGACAAATCTGCAAAAGAAGCAGCAGAAAAAGACATTCTGGCTTTAGCCCCAGAAAAGGAGGTCATATTACCTAAAATTGCCCCAAAAGGACTTTCAGTGAATGGAATCACTCAAAGCTGACTTTCAAGCTACAGGGTGGGCTGTCACCCCTACAGGGCAGGTGACAGTCCCACCTATAATTATGGGGAAAATATGTAAAAAGAGCATGAAAGAACCCAAACACTAGCAATAAAATAACTGTAGGAGTCACAAAAGCTGGAAATCTTCCTGGAGATTATCTGCAATTAGTTTTTACTGAGTTACCCCAGAAAGAAGGATATTGGTACATTTTTAGTGCTAGTCGATACCTTTAATGGATGGCCAGAGCTCTGTCCTTATTGCACCAATAATGCAAGCAAAGTACTGAAGGTTCTCTTAAACCACATTATTCCCAGGTTCAGAATTCCTCTAGGAATGTCATCAGATAAAGGATCAGATTTTATTGCAACAGTGGCACAAGACAAGTAACATTTGCCAGGAAACCTCAAGGACATCGGTGCAGGCCCTGCCTATGGCATTGCTGGGAATTCTGGGAGAAGAGAGTATTTAAGCCCCTATGAACTAATGGACACTTTAGGATCTACCCTGCAGAAACTCCAGAGATTGGTGGTGACACATTGGCCAGTGGATTGGACACCCCAGCCCATCCATCCCTGCCTGGCCATTGGGTCCCCATCAAGTGGGGGGACTCCGAGCCCCCTCACACAAAGGGGAAAGGCCCTTTCCAGGCTTTGTTGACCCCATTTACAGCAGTTACAGTTGCAGAAAAGGACCTTGGACACACTATCCTCGAGTTAAGAAAGCTCCATTTGATTGGAAAGGCGAACAGACTGACCCTTGAAAATTATCATCCATGTTTGTATATTATCTTGTATTATGATTTAATGCTGTAGCTCTTGTAGTCACTTATGGTTCAAAGTATGCTTTGAATAATGAGACATTGGCCTAATGGCCAAGTCTTAAGAAAAACAGGGGAGTGATATCTGAGTTTTGAGATGTAACAAGGACTAAGCTTTTGCAGCAGAACGTACCATAGAAACTCCACAGAGCTGAAGCAAGGGATTTACAGGTACTAACCAAGCAAAGTAATGAAACAATGAAGAAGGGAACTGAGGCAGCAGTCAAGCAATACCCAGTAACTCTATAACCAGGTGAATTGTGTTAAAGAAGTTCATAAGGCAGTCAGAACTTTGGGGGCTCCAGACCCAGATGACCATGAGAGACTCACGATGAAGCCCCTCAGAGACCTTATAAGGATATGCATATATGCTAATAAGTGTTGGGAAATGTCATGAATACATAACAGGAATGTGGGGAATGAAAAATGAATAATCATGTAATGCTGACATATCAGCTGTAGTGGAGACACCTCTGTGTGCACTTTGGGAACTGATTCCCAGGGCACCTGACGTGTGTGACCGTGCAGCATGTCATGATAAACAACGTCTGCTGCTAAAACTCACCAATTGGGTCCTAGAGGTTTCTTTAAGAGCCAATTTTAGGCAACAGGTGGCCCCTCAGGAGCCCCCCAGTGGGGTGACACAAGGGGGACTTGGAGGTCCACATTCTTGATCCATCCTGGAGGCCAGTTATGCCCATCCCGCCCCCAACCTCGGCCCCAACCCCTGCCCTGCATGTTCCCCTCAAAGCCCCCCTCATTTGCTGCCCACGGGCAAAGGAACTGCCCAGGGGCAGAGGGGGGGAACACCCACCCCCAGAGGGGACAGGCTGGGTTTGGAGCCAGAGAAGGGAAGAGGCCCCTCAGAAGCAGATCCTGCCAGCGGGGACAGTGCTTTGGATCAGGGCAATGTCCTCCCTTACACAACTGGCTCAGGGGGAAAACTCCCCCTGGGGAAGGGCCGGGACATTCCCACGGAGCCTGGAGGTTTTCATCCCTTCTCAGGGGCCACAACTGGCTCAACCACAGATGGGAGAGGCAGGGTGATGTGTGAGAAGGGGCCACAAACCATCAAGGACCCCCAAAGTGCCCCGTGATCCCCAGGGTTACATCAGACAGTGTAAAACTGCTCCGAGGGGAGGAACCTGGGTGTTCCTGAACCTGAATGTGTATTAACTCACTGAACTTTGTGTTTCAGGGGCTTCCCTCACCCCCAACTGTTAAACACCTAAACCATCACTTGGACCAAGGGACATGGGAATTGCACCAACCAAGTCTGTGCTGGATCCTCGGGGTGTGACTCTGTATCTTTCTACTCTGATTCTTTCTTTTCCCTTATACATTTTCTTAAGTGTTATTTTTATGCTTTATATCACTATTAGACAGGAACCAAAACTGCTCCAAACCTGCTTTACGTGGCAACCAAAGTATTCTAAACTAAACCCCACTATATATAGTTATAACCACCAATCATCCACTGTCCTTTCACTCTAATCTGCCCCAAGGGGTCAATTAACAAGAACCTGGGTCACCCTCCTCCTCAGCAGGAGTCGGGACAGGCGTTGGACATGGGGGAAGTTTCTGGCAGCTGCTCACAGAACCCAGCCCTGGAGTTCCCCTGCTACCAAAACCTGGCAAACCCAAGGCACTGCCCAGCATGGATCACCTGGAATGTGGGTCACCAGGTCTGTGCCCAGCATGGATCACCTGGAACGTGGGTCAGCAGGTCTGTGCCCAACGTGGGTCCTTTGATGGTTGATGGAGTTGGAGCAGCAGACAAAGCTCTTCCCGCAATCAGGGCACTTGCAGGACTTCTCTTACTGGTGGGTCCGTTGGTGTTTGGTCAAGGTAGAGCTGTGGGAGAAGCTCTTTTCACACTCGTCACACTTGTAGGGCCTCTCCCCGCTGTGGATGCGCCGGTGCCTGACGAGGTGGGAGCTCTGGTTGAAGCTCTTCCCACAGTCGGTGCAGCGGAAGGGCCTCTCCCCCGTGTGCGTCCGCTGATGCTTGAGGAGATTCCCGCTGGTCTGAAACCTCTTCCCACATTCCCCACACTTGTAGGGCCGTTCCCCGGTGTGGATCTTCTGGTGGCGGATGAGGGTGGAGCTGTCGCTAAAGCTCTTCCTGCACTCCAAGCAGGTGTAGGGCCGCTCTCCGCTGTGCACCCGCTGGTGGGTGAGGAGGCTGGAAATGCGGCTGAAGCTCTTCCCACATTCACATGGATAGGGCCGTTCCCCAGTATGGATCTGCTGGTGGTGGATCAGGTGGGAACTCTGTCTGAAGCTCTTCCCACATTCCCCACACGTGTAGGGCTGTTCCCCAGTGTGGATGCGCTGGTGGCTGAGGAGATTGGAGCTCTTTATGAAGCTCTTCCCACATTCCTCACACTTGTAGGGCCGTTCCCCAGTGTGGATCTTCTGGTGGGTGAGGAGGTAGGAGCTGTCACTGAAGCTTTTCCCACATTCCAAGCACTTGTAGGGTCGCTCCCCAGTGTGGATGATCTGGTGGATGATCAGGTGGGAGCTGCGGCTGAAGCTCTTCCCACATTTCCCACACTTGTAGGGCCGCTCTCCAGTGTGGATATGCTGATGTCGTCTCAGGCTTGACCTGTCATTGAAGCTCTTCCCACATTCCAAGCACTTGTAGGGTCGTTCCTCAGTGTGGATCTTCTGGTGTCTGCTCAGGGTGCAGTTGTCACTGAAGCTCTTCCCACATTTCCCACATGTGTAGGGACGTTCTCCAGTGTGGATATGCTGATGGGCAAGGAGGTTGGAGCTCTGCCTGAAGCACTTCCCACATTCCAAGCACTTGTAGGGTCGTTTCTCAGTGTGGATCTTCTGGTGTCTGCTCAGGCTGGAGCTTTCACTGAAGCTCTTCCCACATTTCCCACATGTGTAAGGACGTTCTCCAGTGTGGATGCGCTGGTGGGAAAGGAGGTGGGAGCTCTGCCTGAAGCACTTCCCACACTCCAAGCACTTGAAGGACTTTTCTCTGCTGTGAAGCTGCTCATGGACCTCCTGGTTGGAGCTCTGGCTCAAGCTCTGGCCGTCTTCCTGGCACAGGCTGGGTCTTTCCTCCTCAGAGCACCCTGGGCTGGCTTTGGAGCCCCTCCTCCTGGGGTACCTTCGTGGCTTTTCCTCCCCGCTGCCTTCCTGCACCGTGGAGCCCTTCAAAACGGCCTCTCCCACCAGGCTCTGACGGGGGGATTTGTCCTCCGGGCTCTCCATCCTCAGCTCGGGGCCTGGGGCAGGAAGCAAGAAGGACAGGGAGGGGATTTGCCTCCGGCCCAGAGGGAAGGCCAAGGACATCCCCCTCAAATCCATCCCCGGCAGGCAGCAGGGTTGTCCTGCAGCCGGGGATGATGCTCAGCTGTGAGGAGCAGCAGGATGTGACAGGGGCAAAGGGGCACTGACTTCCTCCTCACCTGCCTGGGCGTCCTGGGGCATCTTCCTCTTCCTCACAGTCTTCTCCTCCATCCAGCCAAGGTTTGGGAAGGAGAAATCCTGGTGTGGGGGGAAAACCAAGGTGTGAGTGCGTTTGGTTGGGGGTTCCTCCTGCCCAAGTCCATCCCTAGAAGTCACTGGGCATCTTGTGACTGTAAAACCTCCAAAACATCAAGATTCAGCCTAAGAAACCTCAGAAACATTTAGATTAATCCCCCAAAACTGCAGAAGAACAAGTTTCAGCCGAAAACAAAATTCCCAGGAGCTCTCCCTCTCTGGACTCTCAGTTTTGGGGTTCTGCGGGTCTCCCTGTTCTATGCTGTTGGAGGTCCTGTAGGTCCTGGGGGTACCCTCTCTCTCGAGTCCTGCTTACCAATTTCAGGGGTGCCCCAGGGGATTATTCTCCCCTTACTCTCTGTTTCGGGGTGCCAGGAAACCCGGAGAACCCCCCTCTCTGATTTCTCAGCTCTGTTGTCCCAGAGGCCTCAGGGGTCCCCCTGTCCAGGCTCCCTCCTTCTCCAGCCTTACAGGAGACCCGTCCTCGGGATCCCACCCCCTCCAGGCTGCCGGGGGTCCCCCAGCTCCGGGATCGCCCCGCTCCGCTCTCCCCACTCCGGGGCTCCGGGGTTCCTCCCCCCCACCCCCGGCTCTCCCGAGGGGTCCCCAAACCCGCCGGGTCGTGTCCGTCCGTCTGCCCCGGCCCGGACCCCCCCGCCGGCACCGGGGGACAGCGGAGGCGGCGGGGCCTGACCCGGGATCACCGACCCCCACCGCGGGGAGACCCGCATCCCCCCGCCGGGAACCCACACCGGGACCCCCAAAAAACACCTCCCGGGGATCCCCGATATCCCCCCGAGGGGCATTTGGGGCTCAGCTTCGGGCTCCTGCGAGATCCAAACATTCACCGCCCCCACCCGCGATGAACAAAAAACAACGAACCGACCAACCGAGATCTTTGGGACGAGCTCCTTCTTCCCAGGACCCTGCGGGCTGGGGCGGGGCGATCCTCTCTCGTTTCCTTTTCCTCCTTTCTCCCCTCCCGTTCCTCCCGCTCCGCCTGTTCCTGTTCCGTCCCTGCGGCCGCGGAGCTCTCGGGTGAGCGGGGGGGACGCGCTGGGAGAGGGGGGATGAGGGGAGGGGGGACGGCGGGAAAGGGCTTCCCTTGGGGTCCCTTCGTGTCCCCATCCCTCGGGCCCTGCAGAGGGGGGAGCCTGGAGAGAGGGGACCCCCGAGCCCCCCGTCCCTGGCGAGCGGTCGGGGCCGTGCTGCTCGTTCTGAATCCCCGTCAGGCTGAACAGAGCCGCTCCCGTGTCAGGAGCTCTCGTGTTTTCTTGTCCCAACACTTCCAGGAGCTCCCCCCGCATTCCCAAAGGCCCAGCAGAGCCCCCCGATCCCCGCCGTGCCCCCCAGAGCTCGGTGCGGGCTGGGATAGAACAGGAGAGCCGGGCTGGGCCCGGGGAAAGGCCGGGAAGGGAAGCAGGAATGGCCCCGCTGGTGCTGCCGCGGGGCTGGGCCGGAGCTGGGAACCAGGGCCGGGCAAGAGAGGAGAGAGAAAGTGCTGCGGGCCTCCAGAGCCGAGCCCCCAATGTCTGGGGGGGCTCTGGGTTTGGGGGGTTTGGAGGGAGAGGATGTTTGGATCTGGCAGGAGCCCGAAGCTGAGCCGCAGGTGACCCTTGGGGGCTCTCGGGGGTCCCCGGGAGGTGTTTTTTGGGGGTCCCGGTGCGGGTTCCTGGCGGGGGGCGGGGGGATGCGGGTCCCCCCCCGCGGGGGGGGGTCGGTGTTGCTGGGTCAGGCCCTCGGTTGCCAGCCCGGAGCACGGAGAGGGGGAGCCCTGGGAGCCCGAAAGGGGGATCCGGGAGAGGGGGGACCCTCGGGCCCCCAAAGTGGAGAGAGCAGAGAGGGGGAAGTGCTGGGAGGGTTATTTTGGGCTGAGTCTTAGGGGTGCAGGGGGGACACAGTGCTGGGGAAGGGGGCTCCCGGGGCTCCCAGGTCTATGGAAAAGGGGGTGCAGGGACTTGGAGAGGTGGGATGGGATGTCAAGTGGGACCCTGTGCTCAGGAAAGGGGGGTCCAGAGGTCCCCAGTGTCAGGGAAAGGGGGCTCACAGGGTAGGGAGACCCAGAATTGCCAGAAATGGGGGTTCCAGGGGTCCTCTAGTGCTAAAAACACAGGGGTCTGGACTTTGGGAAAGGCAGGAATGGGAGTCCAGGGGGTCCCAGGGTCAAGGGAAAGGGGGATCTGGGGGCTGGGAGAGGTGGGATGGCTGGGAAAGGGGGTGCAGGGGGTTATTGGTGCAGGATAAGGGGGTGCAAGAGGGTCCCAGAGCTGGGGAAGGGAGTGCAGGGGGGTTCCTGTGCCCAGGAATGGGGGCTCAAGGGGAGTCCCAGAGTCAAAGAAAAGGGGGTGATATAGAGACTGGCACCAGACTGGGTCTAGAGGGTCCCTGTGCCCAGGAAAGGGGGGTCCAGGGTCCTCCAGTGTCAGGGAAAGGTGGTTCACAGAGTGGGAACAGCTGGGACATCTGGGAAGGCAGGTTCAGGCAGTCCCTGGTGTGAAGGAAAGAGGCTCAGGGAAAGGCAGGAATGGGGGTCCAGGGGTGCCAGGGTGAAGGAAAAGGGGGTGTCTGGTGGCTGGGAGAGGTGGGATGGCCAGGAAAGGGGGTGCAGGGGGGTTCTGGAGCTGTGGAAGGTGGTGCAGGGGGGTCACAGTGCTGAGGAGTGGGGATTCGGGGGGGTCCCAAGGTCAAGGAAAGGCAGGACTAGAGGTGAGGAGAGGTGGGATGGAGGGGTCCAGGGTGTCCCTGTTTCCCAGGAAAGGGGGGTCCAGGGGCTCCCAGTGTCAGGGAAAGGTGGTTCATTGGGTGGGGAGACCTGGGATGTGCAGGAAGTGGGTTCAGGGGGTCCTGGGTGTTGAGGAAAGGAGGGGTTGGGGACTGGGAGAGGCAGGAATGGGGGTCCATGGGGTGCCAGGGTCAAGGAAAAGGGAGGGTCTGAGGTCTTGGAGAGGTGGGATGATGGGGAATGGGGCTGCAGGGGGTCGTGGAGCTGCAGAAGGGAGTGCAGGGGGGCCTCAGTGTATGGAAAAGGGGGATTCAGGGAGTGCCAGGAAAGGGGGAGCACAGGGGTCTGGGAGTCAAAGAAAGTGGGGTCTGGGGGCTGGAAAACCGGGAATGGCTGAGAAAGGGGTCCCAGTGCCCAGGAAAAGGGGGTGCAGGGGGATCCCAATAATAATAGGGAAGAGATGGAGGAAACAATGGAATGAGGCTCCCAAGTGCTGATTTCCAGGGGCAGGAAGGCGGGGAGAGGGCAGGGAAGTGCCCCCAGGGAAAGGGATCCCGGAGCTGATCTGCTGCTCAGGGCCAGAGTGGGAACTGGGAACAAGAATTCTGGGAATGCAGAGCAGTGGGAGGGGGTTTGCCCTCCCCCTCCTGCCCCTCCTGCGCTTTCCAGAGCCCAGTCACCTCCAATATGAGCCCAGTTGCTCCCACTATATCCCACTTGCCCACAACATGGTCCCAATTGGCCCCAGCATAGTGCCAGTCACTCCCAGTATGATCCCAGTCTCCCCCAGCAGGGTCCTAGTCACTCCCTGTTGCCCTCAGCATAGAACCAGTCACTGCCAGTTGATCCCAGTTGCTGCCAGTCTGGTCCCAGTCACCCTCAGTATGGTCACAGGCACTCCCAGTATGACCCCAGTGTGGGCCCAGTTGCTCCCAGAATGATCCCACTTGCCCCAGTTGTGGTCCCAGTCCGCCCAGCATGGTTTCACTATCTCCCAGTTGATCACAGTTGACTCCCAGTGTGTCTCCTGTTGGCTCCAAGCATTGGCCTAGTAGGTCCCAGTAGCCCCCAGTAAGGTTCCAGTCACACACCATGTAATCCCAGTATGATCCCAGTGTGATCCTAGCCACTCTCAGTATGGTTCCATTCACTTCCAGTATGATCCCAGTCACTCCCACTATAATCCCAGTCATTCCCAGTGTGATTCCAGTGTCCCCCGACATGGTCCCAGTTGCTTCCTGTCAACACCAGTATGATCCCAGTCAACTCCAGCATGAGGCCAGTTGCTTCCAGTCACTCCCAGTATGAGCCCAGTTGCTTCCTCTCAACACCAGTATGATCCCAGTCAACTCCAGCATGAGCCCAGTTGCTTCCAGTCACTCCCAGTATGATCCCAGTTGCCTACAGTGTGTGGCCACTTGCTCCCAGTATTAACCCAATCACTCCCAGTATGATGCTTGTAGGGGTAGGTGCAATCAAGCAAGAATTTGTAATGGAAATCTAGAACTTGTTTTGCTTAGAAAAACTGCAAAATGCCTTTTCAAACAGGTTAGATGGGTTTTTTCCCTCGTGCATTTCAGAGAAAGTTGCAGGGAAGGTGTGAGCAGCTCTCTCTGTCTGTGGTATACAGAATGATGACATGTTTGCAGACAGGTACGAGGCCTCCTGGGGCCAGGGTGGAGGGGTGAGAGAGAGAAGATACAAGAAGCCTTGGAGAAGGCAGGGCATGGCCTTTTCCCCCTGAAAAGTCTGATGTGCTACATCATAAAAAAGTGTTTCTTGCATCTGAAATAAACCTTTTTTTAATCCTTCCACTGCCTTGGTGTTCTTGGGAAGAATACCTGCGTATGTTTACGTTACAATGCTATTTACTCCCAGTTCCTCACAGTCCCCCCCAATATGATCTTGGTCACTCCCAGCATGATCTCAGTTGCTCCCAGTATATCCCAGTTGCCCCCAAGAGGGTCCCAATTGCACCCAGCATATTCCTAGCCACTGCCAGTATGATCCCAATTGCCCCCAGCATGGTCCCAGTTGCTCCCTGTTCCTCCCAGTTGCCAGTTTCATCCAGTTGCCACTAGCATAGTCCCAGTCACTGCCAGTGTGATCCCAGTTGCTCCTGTATATCCCAGTTGTCCCCAACAGAATCCTGATTGCCCCCAGGATGCTCCTTGTCACTCCTAGTATGAGTCTACTATGATCCCAGTCACCCTCAGGGTGATCCCAGTGTCCCCCAGTATGGGCCTAGCTGCTCCCAGTGTGATCCCAGTATGGTCCCAATTGCCTGCAGCATGGTTTCAGTTGCTTCCCATTCCTCCCACTGTGATCCCAGTTGAACACAGTTGCCTCTAGTATAGTCCCAGTATGACCCCAGTCTCTCCCAGCATGGTCCCAAGTCACCCCCACTATGGTTACAGACACTCCCCATATGATCCCACTGTAGCCCAGTCTCTCCCAGTACGATCTCAGGATGATCCCAGTGTAGCCCAGTCTCTCCCAGTATGATCCCAGTGTAGCCCAGTCGCTCCCAGGATGAGCCCAAAGCTCCTGTAACACCTGCAGGACCCACCCAGAGGAGGGTCCTTCCAGGTTGTGCAGCTGCAGAAGAGCCCCCAGGAGCCGAGGTCCCCCCAGAGCCCCCCAGGCAGGAGAAGGTGGTGACAACTCTGGCCCCAGGAGTGCAGGAGTGTGTCCAGCCCAATCCCCCAGCAAGGGGCTCCCACAACCCCTCAACACCTCCAGGGATGGGGAGCTCACCACAGATATCTTGGGAGAGTCTCGTTTTGGGGGTGGAGATTTGGAGCTTGGGGAACTCCAGAGCTGAGTCCAAAACATCCCTTGGGGGGATATTGAGCAGTTCCCAGGAAGTGGGTTTTTGGGGGGGGGGTTGGTGGCAGCTGCCAGATTATGCCAGTGGTTGGAATTTAAGGAATTACAGAGCTGTGATTGAACCACAGGGGATGTTGGGTCCCCGGAGCCACGTGGCGATCGCCGGATACCGGCGGGGAGTGGAGGGACACGGGACCCACCTGCAGCCCGGGGAGGAGCCCACGCGGAACAGGCTCCTGCAGGACTTGTGACCCCGTGGGGACCCACGGTGGAGCAGCCTGTTCCCGAGGGACTGTGTCCGTGCCAAGTACCCCACGCTGGACGGAGCAGACACGGACTCCACTCTACCCCACTGGACGGAGCAGACACGGACTCCTCTCCCTGAGCGGGAAGCAGCGGTGGGACCCCCATCCCCCTGTGCCGCGGAGCGGAGAGAGGGAATAGG